CGGAGGGATTGATTGGCACTGTAACGTGTGCTGTACAGATCAGTCTTCGAGATTGAACACCATGAATGACATGGCGGTCGGTCGGTCGGTCGGTCAGTGGCTAAAAGTCAAGTTTGTTCGGATTGACCAAAAACAGCTAGACAGACACTGTTCCCAGGACTGTGATGACGGCATGCAAATTAACTTAACTTAGTCAATCAACTTAATGTTAACGTTAGTATCTTAGTACATACAGTACATGCGCACCAACAGTAGGTGACCCCGCCTGGCACTAACCAAGCCTAAACAAGCCGCTCCCCGCCGATCACTGCACCGCCCGCGAGACCTGGTGGTCTGCCATTTCACTCTCTGCTAACATCTTCCCTCGACTGTGGAATGAACCCACTGAGTCAGTCTCGCCTTTTCGTCTTTCCGTCTCTTCGCCTCTGGCGAGGGGTAAACAAGGGGAAGGCATGAGCTGATAGTCCTACGCAGACAGTTTGTCAGTTTGTTAGTTATCGCGCTGGAGGGCAAAATGCACCATCTTCTGGCTTCTAAGATCCCAACTCCCAATCCCATTCTGGCCCAGACCAATCACTGTCCCTCTTGCATACCAGCATCTTGATCGTTTTCGTCCGCCTGAATCAATTCCCCACCACCTTTCGAAGGCCTGACAATGAATGGATGTCATGCTTTGGATGGGAAACCCCGGTTTCCTCCACTAACGAATGGTCCTAGTGCATCTGACCTCCAGCGCGGATCCACTTTTTCCTTGGAGGTACAGTACAACCGTACTCTAGTGTACCTACTGATTACTGCATACTTCAATCGTTGTTGTCTGGAGAGTGCGACCAGGAGTACCACGTTATCCAATCAACTCTCGATGGGATGAACTATCGGTACCTCGAAGCACTTTCAAGACCAGTCTATCTAAGGTATTCAGCCCTTAGGTTTAATTTTCCATGCGCCGGTAATTATGACCGTAGCTCGTTAGAGCCAATATCTCCCATGCCCTCTTGCTGGTTTAAAACCCCATTCATCGCCCCTGCAACTGTCAAGATGATCTTTCTTTTCTTCAATTATTATTGTTCCATTTCCTCGGTCTTCTCCTTCCTTGATGCCTTCTCTTCCGTTCAATGAATCCTAAAACTTCACCGACTTGATTCTGGATCCAATCCTTCCTTCACCCCCACAAATTTGTTTCATCCACGCTCAAGAGGAATTTCATCAACGAAAGGAATTCATTTCACCAACATGGCGCGTACCTACTTGGGCCTCACAGGAGGCAAGTTGCAAATCGCGATCAGTTTGATTGCTGGTTTGGATTTCTTGCTCTTTGGATACGACCAGGGTGTCACTGGAGGCCTCTTAACCCTCGATTCATTCATCAAATATTTCCCTACCATCTCAACGAGTGGGTCCTACTATGAAAACTTGAGCCCGGGTGCTAGATCTGCTCAGTCAACTCGCCAAGGTAAGAACGCGCTAGACTGCTCCGGTTGAGCAACGCTCACCTGACCCATTATAGGTATTGTTGTCGCAGCTTACAACTTGGGATGTTTTGCGGGCTCGATTCCAACAATATGGGTTGGCAATTGGCTAGGTCGACGGAAGACAATCTTTGTCGGCTCGGCTATCATGGTTGTTGGTGCTCTGCTGCAATGTACCTCGTACGATCTAGCCCAGTTCATTGTCGGGCGTCTAGTGACTGGCTTCGGTAGGTGATGGGAGGTCTCTGCAGGAAATTCCCAAGTCTGGAGCTGACTCTTACTGTCCAGGCAATGGCATGAACACCTCAACGGTGCCCACTTGGCAATCCGAATGCTGTAGATCGAATCGCCGTGGCCAGCTAGTTATGATCGAAGGCGCCATGATCACCTGCGGCATTACCATCAGCTATTGGATTGATTTTGGCCTGCTGTTCGCCGACCCCAGCGAGGTGGCTTGGCGGTTTCCCCTCGCCTTCCAGATCTTTTTCGCTCTGATCATTCTAGCTTTCGTTATGTTTCTCCCGGAATCACCTCGCTGGCTCATCTTGAAGGGACGTGAAGATGAAGCGCGTGAAGTGCTTTACTCCTTGAATGGAAAACACGACGAGACTTTCATCGAGACCGAGTTCGCACAAATCAAAGCCACTGTGTTGGAAATGGCCAAGGGTTCTTTCCGCGACATGTTTACCATGACTGAAGATCGTCACTTCCACCGCGTGGTACTGGCCTATGTCAACCAGATGTTCCAGCAAATTTCAGGTACGTTCTCTATGCCCCTTCTGGGCTCGAATGCATTCGCTAATGAAACAATCAAGGTATCAATCTGATCACCTATTACTGCTCTATCGTCCTCGAAAACCAGCTGGGAATGAGCCTGGAAATGTCACGTTTGATTGCAGCTTGCAATGGAACGGAGTATTTCCTTGCCTCTTGGATTGCCGTCTTCACCATTGAGAAATTCGGACGGCGTCAGCTGATGCTGTTCGGTGCGGCGGGTATGTCCATTTCCATGGTCATTCTGGCGGTATGTGCCAGTCTCGATACGAACGGGGCTAGGGTGACTGTTGTCGTGTTCTTGTTCATCTTCAACACATTCTTCGCCATCGGTTGGTTGGGCATGACCTGGTTGTATCCAGCCGAGGTGGTGCCTCTCAAGATCCGAGCTCCGGCAAACGCGCTGGCCACGTCGTCCAACTGGATCTTCAACTTCATGGTGGTCATGATCACCCCCGTGGCCTTCGACAACATTGGGTACCAGACCTACATTATCTTTGCTGTCATGTAAGTACACCCCTTGCCGCCACCTGCATGCGTCGAGGCCGCCGAATCAACTGACTCGTAATTAGTAACGCATTCATCTTCCCCGTGGTGCTCTTCTTCTACCCTGAGACCGCGTGCCGGTCACTCGAAGAGATGGACCGCATTTTCCGGAAGACCAAGAGTATCTTCCAGGTGGTGAAGGTTGCCAACGAGGAACCTCACATGTACGGCCCCCGCGGTGAGCTGCTGCGGACGCTGGACGACGAGGAGGATGATGCGGTGCGTCGCACGAGCGTGCTGAATCACTCCATCAAGGATGCCGATAGGGATAGCGATGATGTGGCTAGCACCGAGAAGATCTAGAATGATCGGTCATCGGATCTCCGCGGATCGCTCTGATCATGCTTGCTTGTTAATCTTCGACGCACCTTGACGACTGCACGGCTTGATTTACTTCTCTTTTCTTCTGCCTTGGGGCCCTGGGGCCCGATTGACGATTACTGATTATACCCCTTATGGACGATGCTATACGATTTAGACGTGGCTCAAATGAAGAAGGCCTGGGCCTTGCCCCTTGCCAGATGTTGGTGTCCTCTAAAAGTTGTAGTTCCTCTTCCTTATCAGGCAGCGCGTGTGTGATGTACTATCAAGGCACCCTTGCATTTTGCCTGGCATCTGGGTGATTTATGTGCTGATCGCGATCCTGATCGGCCTGTCGAGACCTCGGGCTCTTTCCTGATCTACTTCACGGTCCAGACCGGGTGCAAATACCGCCAGACTAGAGCCTGACGCAGAGTGGCATTGGCCAATCCCTAGTATTCCTGTGAATGCTGCGGGCACCTTTACATGGCCTTCGAATCAGGATGACTGCCACATGTCATATGCAACCGTCTTATGCACTATTCTATACTAAGCTTTTGAGAACCGTCAAGTCATGCACAGAACCGTCTAGATTTTCACTGCTTGCGTAGCGACCAGATCATGTTACTCATTAACAAGATTGCCAGTCTCCAGGCTGACTTGCATGCATACTCTTTCAAGTGGCCAATCATGCAAGCCTGTGCTATATACAAGGCAATCTTGAAGAATAGTGGATGCCAGCAAACAGGAATTGAACCAAGCACTGGCACCTGTCAAGGCTTGCGGATCTCCCCCAAAACGGTGTTTACACTTTGTGAGTAACGACGATGAACACTCCTACGCTCTACCTTCACTGATGACCCTTCTATCGGCCAGGTACTGTGAGGAGAAACAACTAGCGATCCAGACTGTATACTGCCAGTCACCCTTGCCAAATATACCACTCCTCACCACGATCTCGGCCATAAGCTTGCAGAGCCAAGTCTCATCACTGAATCCCAATTTTGTTGAGCGTAAGAGGTTGGCTCAATCCCATCTAAAGGAACGTTCCTTGTCCGGCAGTTGAGACATGGAAGCAGTGGGGACGGGTGTTGGGGACATGCGCGGTGGGCCTCGATCGCGTCTGTCGCACTCAACAAGTGGGTACCGCCATGGCTGATGGCAGCAAGAAAGAGGGGGAAGTTCACCGGTCTGATAGATTGAGTCACCGATTGTCGCCGTGTAAGTTGTCTATGATGAGATGGATGAAGATCCCTATTCTCTTCAACCACGGCTGATTTACTTCCGGTATCGGATGTTTTTTATTTATTTATTTATTTTTTTTTATTTTTTGCAGGTCGACAGAGTGAGTCACTGAGGTTGAATTAACGTTGAACTAAAAAGTTCCGGGGCAGTTGAGGAAGAGGCAGAAGAACAGCCCCGTTTCTACCCGCCCGAGGGCTAAAGGAAGAAAACAGGCAATGTTTTCTTCCGGAGAATAGCGTTGCTTTGTATAGCCTGGGTTCGCTTCTTTTTCCTGTCCTACAGTGAGCAGAATGGTCATCGATGGCCATAGATGGTCACATAGGTTTGTCTGTCAGACCTACTCGTTAGGGAAAGAAAGGGGTCGAAGAGGGTCTGGAACCGACCGGGCCAATGGTTCCTCCGGCGGGTCCTTCTCTTGTTGCTTTTACACTTTTATCAATCAATCAATCAATGATAAGTTAGTTACTGTTACCGAGTCGCATGCAAATTCCCCTCCATTGACTTTTCGCTGGCCCTTTTTGCTTCTTCCTCGGCTTTCACCAAGCTTTTCTTTTCGGCATATCCTGCAGGTTCTCATCTTCCCCTGTCTCGTCTCCCCTTGCTTAAAAGCGTTTGCCTCGCCTCTTTTCGTCGTCAATTCCAGAGCTAGCCATCATGACCGTCGCACTGCAGGTACGTCGCCTGCGCCTCCCCACTACATTCCCAGCGCTATCGCAAGTTTATTCGTGCTCGAGCTGCATCTTTCTCCTCCCCTCCTTTGCCAAACCCAATCACAGTAGCTCGCAGATAAGACCAAAACTGACCATCTCCGAACTCCATTCCAGGGCTGATCACTGCCATCTTCTCCCCCCGACCCCGAGAATTAAAAAGTGCGGGGTTCCCAGCTCGTTTCCCCCTCGTGGCCAAACCACCTTCTCTTTTTTCCGTGAACTCTTCATCATTTCTACCACCGACAAACAATCTTATACCTGCGTGTGCAGTCTAGAGTAAGCATCCTTACTAGTGGCATCGACCGCGCGCCACTACTGCTTCGATTCCCTGGTCCTCAACAAGGATCACCGTCCCAACTGGCCCCCACCCCCGCCAAGATGTCCCTCGCAGAGTCCCACCCCGACCACCCTCACGGGGTGACCAAACAACCCAACACAGAGAGCATTCACGAACGATCGCTCGACAGTCGGGAGGGTGAAAATGACCTGGAGACGGGCAGTGAGCCCGAGTCTGAGGCTGACCTTGCCGAGATCGAGCGCATCTATAGGTGAGTTGAACAGTTGGTTGCTAGTCGAACTAGTTGTACTAGTGTGTTAACTATCCTGCATCGTCTGACATAACATGACATGACATGACATGCTAACTGAATCGACCCCTGCAGAAAGCTAGACTTCCGCATCATTCCCGCATTCTGGGTGCTCTATTTCCTCTGCGCGGCGGTACGCTCCAATGTCGGCCTCGCGCAAACCATGAACGAGAGCTCGGGTCATGATCTCGGCTCGGTGCTGAACATGACGCCACACCAGATCTCCACCGCTCTCGCACTGTTCTATGTCTGCTATGTGATCTTCGACTTGCCCTCCAACCTGATCATGACCCGTCTGAGTCCCCACGTCTGGATGAGTCGGATTGTCATTAGCGTGGGAATCATCGGGAGCTGCATGACGGCTATGAAAGCCGCCTGGAGTTTATAGTATGTGTTTCATGCCCCTCGGTCTGCCTGCCCCCTCGCTCCAACAGTCACTAATCACATCTGCAAATCAGCCTCCTTCGTCTGCTCTTGGGTATTGTCATCGCGGGCATGTGGCCCGGTATGACCTACTACCTCACCCTGTTCTACCCTCCCTCCCGCACCGGCAAACGCATCGGCCAGTACTACACGGCCGCGCAGGTCTCCGCCGCAGTCGTCGGTCTGGTCTCGGCCGGATTCCAGAAGATGGACGGCGAGCGCGGCCTGGTCGGGTTCCAATGGATGTTCCTGGTCTACGGGGTGATCACGACCGCCGTCGGCTTCCTGCTCCTGTGGTGGCTGCCAGACCGGCCGCTCGCGCCGGGCGCGGAGCCCAAGACGTCCAAGTACCTGTGGTGGTTCCCCCGCAGCCCGCCGGCGTTGACCGGCCGCGACGCGGAGATCCACTACCACGACCTCAAGCGCGTGTACCACCGCGCGCAGTGGACCTGGAAGGACCTGCTGAACGTGTTCCTGGACTGGCGCCTGTGGCCGCTGCTGATCATGTACTTTGGCGTCGTGGGCGTGGGCATCGGCACGCAGAGTTACGCCACCGTCATCATCCAGAGCATCAACCCGTCGCTGAACGGGATTGATCTCAGTCTCCTGACTGCCCCGATCTGGATTGTACGTATCCCTGGCCCAACATCCCAAACCCCCATCCCGGAACCCCATAACCCCACAGGTCAAAGCTAACCCTCCACAAAGATGGACCTAATCGCCATCCTCCTCGTCACCCCGATAAGCGACCGCTTCCACCGCCACCGCTCCCTCTTCTTCTCCGTGCCGGTCCTCCTGCAGATCCTGGGCCTGCTCCTAACGACCTACGCCGGCACGGCCACCAACTCCTGGCCGCGCTACGGCGGCCTCCTGATTGTGGGCTTCGGCCTGGGCCCCACCGTCCCCATCACCATGACCTGGACGACCGAGATCTTCCAGCCGCGCCACGGCGAGGTCGGCGTCGCCGCCGCCTCCGCCGTCGTCTCGGGTCTCGGCAACCTGGGTAGTATCATGACCACCTACGCCCTGTATTCCGGCTGGAAGAGCGACTACGAGGCCACGGGCCGCGCCAAGTACCGCAAGAGCAACCTCGTCATGGTCGGCATCCTGTGCGCCAGTATCCTGGCCGCCGTCACCATGGAGGTGCTGCTGCGCGTGGTGGATGGGAAGAAGAATGGGAATAAGGAAGGTGGGGCTGGTGCTGGTGGTGCGGTGGCCGCGGATGGGGCGGCCAGGCGCGAGGCGCGGCAGAGGGGGCTGGATGGGTTGGGGGCGGGGTTGTTCAAGGTCTTCAAGCGGGGTGGGTGATGATGCGGACGATGATGTTGAGGACCGGTGCATGGGCCTTGAGCATACAAAAAGAAAAAAAAAAAAAAAGATGTTTAGACATCGATCATGGTAAGGTAATCACGTGGTATGACTGGACGGGAATCGCATGAACCGCCAAGAAGATGTGAATGTTCATATAGTTTATAAATCATTGTATCTAATTTCTAGTATCATATTGCAAATGTTGACGTTGAAGTTGATGAACAGTCGATACGGTTTAGACGCAATCCGGCGCAGTGGCAAAGAAGCAAGACTTGACGTGTTCACATCCTGAGGATGTGCTTATTCGTAACGATTGATTATTTGAACACTATAGTACTGACCGTGGTTTCGGCCTTTAAAGCTATTTGATCCTTCCAGTTTCATCCCCAGTTTCAATTTCAAAAGACCGTCGTCGGTTCTCCTCCGAGTACCAGTCCTCTATGCCATACGTAACACATAACCCAAGGTAAGAAAGAAACATGCAAGACCAGCAACAGGACAACGAATGCATCAACAGGGCTGGCACATGAGAGAGTGTTCGAGAGAAACTCCGAAGCACCATCATGAAGAGAGAAAGAAAGAAGCGAAATTCTATAGTTTGCTCTCCCATGACCAGGCTGCATCGCAATCTGACTCCATGTCGACGCCGGAGGGTATACGAGCGCTAAGATGAAATGTTTTTCACATTTGGAGTAAATGTGCTAGACGCACTTAGTTGCCACCGCAAAGGGTCTCCACGATGATACCAGTAATTTGGTAGGGGCAGGCGTTACTGGCGGGACGGCGGTCCTCGAAGTAACCCTTGCCGTCCTTGGCGACCTGGCGGGGGATACGGATGGAGCCACCACGGTCGGCAACACCGTAGCTGAACTTGTCGATGTTGCCGGTCTCGTGACGACCAGTCAGACGCTCCTCGTTGCCCTCACCGTAGACGGCAATGTGCTCAACATGGCGGGCCTCGAGCTTCTTCATGTAGGACTCAATAGCCTTCATGCCACCGTCAGCACGAGTGGAGGCGGTGGAGACGTTGGTGTGGAGGCCGGCGCCGTTCCATTCACCCTTGATGGGCTTGGGCTCGAAGGAGATTCTGACGCCGAACTCTTCAGCGACACGGTGGAGGAGGAAGCGGGACATCCAGAGCTCGTCACCCACTGCGAAAGAAATTAGTATGTGATGATCGAGATCGCGATAAGACGGAATACTCACTGTCAATACCCTGGCAAGGGCCGACCTGGTACTCCCATTGGGAAGGCATGACCTCGGCGTTGATACCGGAGATCTTGATACCAGCGTACAAGCACGCACGGTAGTGAGCCTCGACGATGTCACGGCAGTAGACCTTGCCGGTACCGACACCACAGTAGTAGGGGCCCTGGGCACCGGGGAAACCACCCTTAGGCCAGCCGTAGGGCCAGCCATCGTTACCGAGGAGGGTGTACTCCTGTTCCAGACCGAACCAGAACTCCTCCTTGGCGTTAGCCTCCATCAGACGGGCAGCCTCGTGGCGGTGGTTGAACTTGTTGGGGGTTCCATCGGAATCCCAGGTCTCGCAAAGGACGAGGATGTTGTCACCGAGACGGAAGGGGTCGGGGTAGATAGCAACGGGGCGGAGGTAGACATCGGAGTTGTCACCGGGGGCCTGGCCGGTGGAAGAGCCGTCGAAGTTCCATTCGGGGAGTTCATCAACGGACTTGGGGGACTTGGACAGAGTCTGTGGGGTGGAAGAGAATGATTAGTCATGGTTTCATATTTCAGATCGATGAATCACGTGAGACTAATGCAGGTGGGTTGCAGGGCGGGCGTGCAGGGTCGGATCCCCGTGCGCAGGGCTTATCGGGAGCAGCATCATCGCTCTCTCCCTCCAGATAACACCCATTCTCTCCGCATCCGCGCGATCCAATGCACAAGCTGCGCCACCTGCAATGTCGAAGGTGAAGAAACGGGAATGAAAAGGGGAGGCGTACCCTGGTCTTGGAACGAGTGCCACCGGCGGCATCGATCCAAATGTACTCAGCCTGGACGTTACCCCGCTGGTCGAGGGACATGTACTTCATGAGCTGTTGCCAGCGCATCAGTCAGTATGAGATTTCCTTAAACCCGCAATGCGGTTCAAGAAACATCTTGTAAGGTAGCAATGAGACAAGAACGCACATTCTCCGTGTTGGAGATGGTGGTTGATTCAGCCTGCAGGGGGAGAAAGTATGAGTCAGCGCGCAATTCTTGTCGCTGCAGTGCATGGCATTCGGACAAAGAATGACCGGGGGAGATGTGAAAGCAACTCAAGAGATGCGTACCATTGTGAATATGTGTGTGGGTGTGTGTGAAAGATAGAAAACAAAAGGATGCTGTTTAGCGATTAAGCTTGCAGGTGCAAAGCTCGTGGACTTGGATTGTTCAGATCACAGTCGAACGACACAAACAGGACAATCAAAAGATTGATGTGGTGCGATTTATAGCGAGAGCGGCGGAAGGATCAAATGTTGCTCTTGGAAAATAGAGAGAGAAAGTAAAGGATGGGGGAGGGAGAGATGATAAAGTATGGCGGAGAGGAGATGATGGGATGAGAATGGAGAAAGTCAGTCACAGCGGCAGTTTGGGTGGGGGGAGGATATCCTTTAAATTTAAGAGAATAAGTTTTTCTTTCGGGAAGGAGAGAGAAAAAGGCGGCGGGCGCGTCTTTTTTTCCCTTTTTCCCTTTTTTCCATGTCCTGAATTTCTAAACCGATTTAATCATTTCATTGATTCATTCAATCAAAACCTGTGGTCGGCCGGGCCTGGGGCTACCGGCAAAGAGTGGAAGTGTGAGAGTGAGAGAGGCAAAAATCCATTCCCATTTCCCAAAAAAGACTGCAGTCCCACCCATTTCCACTTCCATTCTGGGAAAAGAAAGTTCAAAAATAAACCTGGCCGTACTGAAAATTACCGTTCCGGTTGGGCACGGTCTTAGGACCTGGTAATTTATCGCTCCATTCGGGATGCTCGTTCTTGCACTTGCACACTTGCAAACTTGAGATGCGCATCGATAATATCAATGAGGTTGGTTCATCGTCTGTCCTTCTTGCTCCCTCAACAACGATTGCCCCTACTCTTTCTCTCTTTCATTTTCTTACTCAGTCCTACCAATTCGACAGCTTCCAGAGATGGGACACATCTTCACCAGCACAATGCAACCAAGGCTGCAGGATTGACCAGGGCTCGGAGGCGCCACCATCACTGCGCCCGCATTCTGTCAATGGGCCAGCCTCGACCACTCGCTGTTTCCGATGTCCAGATTCCTACCTACGCTGGCAGTCGTCGTGGTTATGTCAGCCAGTTCATCGTCAAAGGTTTTGTAAAATAACAATGACAGCCAACAGTAGTGTCTGTAGGCAATTGCGACTCTCCGTTCGATAGACTTTTCGAGCTAAAGTTATTCGTAGAATGCAGCGGTCAGCCCAGCACGGATATTACCCGAACGGGTAATCTCGATGCGCAATTGAAGCTATCGAAAGGACGGAAACTGCCTGTCACACGCCATTAATCTAACCTCCCACACTACTATAGACTATAGTGTCTCCAGTTATCATGGTCTCTCTCTTCCTCGCCGTGTAATCCTATCTTCTTGGTTCCTGATAGGTAAAGCCCTTCGTTGATAATGATAACCCAGGTCAGGCCGGAAGCGGTTGGACTTCCCCAGATGGATCATCTTCGATGCTGGGCCCCCCACGCGACGGTGATCTGGGTTCAGACCTGGATCCATCCATCCCTATCAGACAGACAGGAAGTACAGAAAACACCGAAAGTACTATCAGGGCTGATAATTGGCAGGCCGCACCTCTTTCCATGTCGGCTGACCAGTATTTCTTGAGTTCCTTTCCCTCCCCCTCCATCATCAAGACTGTGACATACCGAGCCAACTCTTCGTCTGCCTTCTTTTTGCTGACCTTCCTATCCCTGGTGGCTGAGAGATAGCAACACGAAACGGTTGCTAAAACCTATTATCAATATCAAGCAGACGTCAGTCCCCATGCATATCAGCTGCAGGACCCGAATAGCTCGGACGTGACCTGCGCCTAATCGCAATGACCGGGGTTTTTATTGGCAGAGCGCCCATGGCATGGATAGGATAGAGTTGATACTTGATAGGAAGCACCTTGAGAGGCACTCAGGTTGCCGCAGCCTATCTTCCGTTGCCTTATCGCAAAGGACACATGTGGCTGGAGTCAGACCATATTGCCATCGAGGAGTTGGGATTAAACTGATCACTTGCTCTTCTCCAATCTACCAAAGAAAAGCAACCGAGGCAGCGATTTTGATATCACAGGAATCCGTACCAGGATGTTACCGCCGCACCAGATACCCCAATACGTACTGGTCAAACTGCACCTTGCGGTTATCTAAATTCAGAGGATGTCTTATCGCTGACTGCCCCTCGAAACCCCGCCATGAGTCGCGTGGGTGGATCCTGGCGCGCCTGCCGGACTGAATGGGGGGGAAAAGAGTTTTCATTTTAATCGCGCATAGATGGAATTCGACCGCGTCAATTCTCGATTTTTCCGTGTAGCGTGTCGGGAGCAGCGCGCACAGATCGGATCCAGTCTCCCACCCCATAGACGGTGGTGGAAAACTTGGGGGAGAGAATTGAGGATTGAATGTCTACCTATCCTCGTTGACAGCTATTACCCCGGGGAATGAATTGCCTGTCCGTCCTCCATACAGACAGCCGGTAATTCAAATACCACGCGGGCAACCCAGTTTTTGCGTCCGGTGGGGCGTGGCAAAACCATTCTCGAAGAAAGCGTCACCATCACCGTCGTCACCCCCGAGACCGGCCATGTTTCCATGTTAACGGCAGTTATTTCTGGGTTCGGGTGACTAATATGAAGAATCAGCCGAGTCCCAGCCGTTCCCTGCCACCGCCTTGGGTGCAAGACGGCGAAGAAAAGGGGAAAAAGGTTCCTTGCACCGGCAACGGGGGTAAAGTCAAAGGGGGAAGGGAAGAATGGACGGGTGAACGG